GTGGGGAGGCGGTTCCGCCGGGGACTCACCGGGAGCAGCTCCTCGCCGCGCCGCTTCCCGCTCCACCGCCGCCGCTTCCTGCTGCCCAGCACGCTGGAAAGCGGGGCGCGCGCCGGCCAATCCCGACTCGCATTCCCGGCCTGCCCCGCGCTCACCTTCCACGCGACAGGGCGCGCGCGCGGTGGGGGCGGGGCCCGGCAGCCCGGTGCATGCCGGGAGCTGTAGTCCATTTGTGCAGAGCGACGGGTTCAGAGTGATAAAACGGGTCAGGCTGGAGGGGACCACAGCGGGCCGTCTGTTCCAGCCTCCCTGCTAAAGCAGGATCATCCAGAGCACATGGCACAGGATTGGCTCCAGACAGTTCTTCAGTATCTGTGAAATTAGACTCCACAGAATCTCTGGGTAATCTGTTGCAGTACTTGGTCGCCCGTGCTGTAGAGTTGTTCCCCGTGTGCCGGTGGAAGTTCCTGTGCACCTCTCACTGCCCATTGCTCAGCAGCACCGAGCAGAGCCCGGTCCCTGCTCTGACCCCTCCCTGCAGGCACTGAGACACTGATGAGATCCCCCTCAGTTGTCTCTTCTCAGGCTGAAGTAATAGAGACACTCCAGTCCCCGATCATCTCTGTTGTTCGACTCTGTTCCTCTTGATGAGGAATGCCCGTGTCTCCCCTTCTAGATGCACTTTGCAGCTACATTGCAGTGCATTCCTTAGTCTGGCATGCCAGAGCATTTTGGAAGACAGGAGTTAGGGCCACACACACCCCGACAGGCAGGACTCATGCCCACAGGATTCCCTTCATCCCACGTCCCCTCGACTCTGTTACACAGCCACTCTTCCGTGCAGTTCCAGAACACCGTGTTACTTTATGAATCAGACTGAGCTGTGCCCAAAATGGGTGTCATGGAGCGGTGTCAAAAGCTGAAAAGTCAGAAGTGCAGTGCTGCCCAGCAAGCCTCTGTGGTGCCCGGCTGTGCCCTGCAGCTCCAGGTCCCCAGAGCTGAGGGAGGAAAGGCCCAGAGAGCCCCTTGCAGCTGCCTGAGCCCTGACGATGTGGAACTCGGGTTTATTTTATACACTGCAGTCTTCAGGGCATCCCTAGTCATCCACGTTCCATGTCCTGCCACCAGATGAGAATGTACTCATCCAAATAAAGCAGGATAATAATTTAACTTGTCAGAAGAGACAGCACGATCATCCCTTTGACAGCCTCTATGCTGAAGTTGACAAGAGAAGAGCAGCCTCATGCAGTGGCTCTAATTAGTTTGCCCATGTTAATTCCTGAAAATTGACTTGTTTATGAGCTCATGCCTTTCCCATGGTGCTTATTGCTTAATGGCCTTGTTAACATAACAGTACTATTGATCTTGTCAGTAGGTCTGCTCAGACAGTTATTTGCAACCCAGGAGTTGCCTGCCACACCCATTCTTGTTTTCTGGTACACAAAAGTACATAAAGCAATGTTGATGCCTCCTGCATTTAAAAATTGTGAAGGATTGTTTTAAACTAGCAGAGATTTAATTTTTAGTGGAAGAACTGTATCTCCAATAGTTCATAATCCAAATAGAAATATTACTAAAGCTATCACTGCAGCAGAGTAAAAAACAAGAATTAAAATTTTCTATTCCAACACCTTCTACCTGTCCAGTATTGGCGGCTTGCTTGTTTTTGATTAATGTATGGTTTGTTCTGACCATTTACTTTTTTTCTCGCGGCATTTTCTGCTGTATTTCTTTTTTTCCTATGGCTTCCCCCATCTACTTTTACTGTGAGTTTAGGCTGAAGGTTTTAAATTGACAGTTCATACTTGGTCCTAATCGCTTTTCAAGTATAAAATTACACCGACTAAGCCGTAGCTCTTATGTTCTCCTTTTCCTCTTTCAGACATGGGTGTGTCATTTCCCAGCACTACCTCCACGATTTCCAAGACCTATGTTACAAAACAATGCAATTTAGTTTTAGTAAGTCTGGAAACTACCTGGTTTATAGTGCATTTTATTTACATAAGGAAGACTATGTTAAGCAAACATCTAAAGGATCTGTATAATATCTCTAGTTCAACTGTATTAGTCATTTATATGCCTAAAAATTACCTTCTTTTTTTCCTTTTCCAGAATCACCTCAATGACACTAGAGAATTCTGTATTAATTAAAATAACATGTTACATCTTATGGACATAACATTCAGCTGAGTTTGGGAAAATTACTGAAGTGTAGATGTTCTCTTCTAGCTCCAGGCTCTCACAGCAGCATCGAACAGGGCTGAGAGCATCTGTCCAGGCTGAGCGTTGTGAGCCTCTCCCAGGGGGAGCTGTGATGTACCAAACAGCCAAAACTGAGTACTAAACTAATAGTAGAAAATTGTGAATCACACATTTCTGTTTTTCAATAAAGGAAACACCTCTGTGTTGGAGGAAATGTAGGAATTAATAAACTGGAGATGTGAAATCAAGTATTGATTGCTTATGTGCAGCGTTGAGTAGATAACTGTTGTCCAAAAGCAGGAGATTTAGATATTAAATGAAGGCCAAAAGGGACCATTAGCTCATCTAGTGCAAGGCCATCCACCTGGCACAGCCTCTGACCTACATCCAGCTAGCTGATATCGTCAGCTCAGCAGTCAGTCAGTTCTGACTGGCTCCCAAAATGGTTTTGAAAGCTCCTTAGTGCACTCGTGGCACACCCAGATCTCCCACATCAAAACCAAATTATTCACCAGGCAGAATACAGGTAGCTGCAGCGTGGCCTGTACTGGTCTCTTCTATTAGAAAAATTCTTACGAAATCAACTGCTCATTCCTGTAGTGTTATCAATCACTTGCAAGAAATCTCTGTATCAGACGAGTCAGTACATCTGCCTTGCACAGTGACTTGTTCTGTGCATGAGCAGGCTTTGCTGCCATGCCTAGAGCAAGCCAGATGTGTGCTGTTATGCAAGAGGAAAACATTTCTGTGGGGCCCCTTTTTGATAGGTATGCCAAGGGCAATAATATCAGTGTCTGTTTAAAAAGTTTTAAAGGAAAATAAACATGGATTGTGCTTCTGACAGAGAGCTGTTCTGTTAATTCTCCTTATTTCTTTATTATTTCCAGAGTGAAAGGAAGATACAAGGAGTTAATGGAGGTCAAAATAATAGTGTAACTACAAAATGCAATGCTTGAAAGCTGTAATGTGTAGAATTGTGGATTGATGTCAAAAATATTTAAACCTTAGTCCTATGACACAAACATGTCAGCCTGTTCCTGCATTATCTATTTTCAGAGGAAATGTTCAGCGAGGACAGGATGTGCATTTATGTCTATTTAGTATTATCTGCTGACGTACAAACTCCATGCCACATCTTATCTGCAGTTTACAAGTGTGACCCCAGAAAGAGCAGCTGACTGGTGAAATCAGGGAGAGCAGTGTCTGTTGAACACTGCAAGCAATGGTAGCTGAATTCTAGTTCTTATCTAAATATTTTCTTTTGTATAATTTTAAATATCTGGAGGAAGAAGCAAGTCCAGCAACTTACTGTCCCTCAGTTTCATAAACTGTAGATTCTGCAGGGTTATGAGAAGCATGCCTAAAGAAATTAGATATAAAGTACTTAGCTATTTTTTTCTTTTAATCCCATAATATAGAATCGTACATATAAAATGGGTTGTGTTGGAAGATCATACAAATCCAGCAGACTTTGTCAACATCAGTACTTGTCTGGAAAACCTCTTAAAGAAAACCTCTGATAAAAAGTTATCTGTATTTATTATTAAAATACATACAACTGGGCAATTTTTGCATGGGTATGCATTGTGCATCATGAGTAGAAATAACATACACAGACATTATTATTACAGATTTCATATATTTAGTTAGTACCTCTTCAGACATGACCCAAATGTTTCACAGCCAAATCTTTAACCTCATTTGCAAAAGTATTTTTGTTTTGTGGGTTTTTTTTGGTAAGCAACAGTGGTCACAGTGCATCAGGACTTGAAATGTGGTGGCTTTTTCCAGGTCTTTCACGATCCATGAAAATCTACAGAGTCTGGAAGGGGTTGAAGCTAAACTGCAAGGAATAATTTTGACCTAGCCCACAGCTGTACTTCCATGTATTATACATGCAGAATCCTGAACAGATAATTATATATTACTTGTCTTTCAGGTCAGGTAATCTTCCTACAAAAATGTAAACCTATGAATCATATATTGCTGTGTGAAATTATGTTTGGCTGATAGGGGCATAAAATATTCACTATAAACTTTACTCCAGAACCTGGAGACAATCAGGGAGTCATTCCACACCCAATTAAGATAAGATTAAGAGCAATAAAAAGTTGGAAAGCTGGGCAACCTAGAATTCTTCCTGTTTTCTAGAAGAATATTTTCCTTTCAAGTACTTTTTTCTTGTTTTCCCATCAAGAACTTTTTTTATTTCTGGCACAGCCTTCCACCCATCAAGTGCATCTTCTATCTGTGCAAGACAATGTGTGCTCTGTGTCACATTGACCAGACTGAGCTGATTATTAGGTGAGTGCTCACTTTGTGCACTCGCAGGTGGAGCAGCTACCAAAGCACACATGCTACTGGAAGACCACCCACCTTCTGTCTGTTGTGTGACTTCAGTTTTTAAGGGCATGGTCCACACGATGTGGATCACACATGATCCATTCTGTACGCCTCAAACAGTGCCTGAGCTGCTGAGTGCATAATGATTTGCCTGAACAGTGGGGACTGAAGTCCTACCTTGGCTTCAGGACAACTGAAATTCCTCAATGTCCTTTAGTTTTGTACTTTGTAACTTACGTAGACAGACAGCTGTGTTGAGGAATTAACAAAAGTTAACAACAACATTTACAGGCAAGAAACTTTTGCAAAAAGGGGAATAAAATTAAAGAGCATTTATTGTTAATTATTACTTTGTGCAGTCATGGGATCACTTCTGCATTTTGTTTTCTGGTCTGTCTCTCTTCCTGAATGCCTGTTAGCTGAAGAGAATGTTCAGCAACTTTACTGCCATGATTCTTAAATCATTACAAATTTTTTTTCACATCACAGTCATATTTTATTTCCTTTTTTTGAGCTCTTACAGGAAATCTGGCAAGGATTATGATGCAGGATCAGCAGAAAAAAAAACCCCTACTTAGGTGGTTTTTTTTTGGTATTGTGGGGTTTTTGGTGTTTTTTTTTGGTTGTTTTTTTTTTTAGGGGGGGGGTTGTTTGTTTGTTTGGGGCTTTTTTGGCCCCCTACTTAGGTGGGTTTTTTTTGGTATTGTGGGGTTTTTTGGTGGTTTTTTTTGGTTGGTTTTTTTTTTGTTGTTTTTTTGGTTGTTTGTTTGTTTGGGGCTTTTTTGGTTTTTTGTTTGGTTTGTTTTGTTTGGTTTGGGTTTTTTTTTGTTTGTTTTGGTTTTTTTTCCTTCCCTGACAAGAAAAAGGTCAGAAGATTCAGCTTGCAGTTTAATGGGGTGGATAAAATGCTGATGGAGAAGAGGCTGTGGGATGCAGACTTTAGGCTCTGTGGCAGGTGCTACACCTCCTTAAATACAACCCTTAAGACAGTTATGTGCCTGATACATAAATAATAACTAGTAAATAATACAAGGCATACTTGAATAATATTATGAACGTCTTCCTGCCAAGAGGCACACATTAAAAATTAAACTAGAGGTCAGGTAGGGATGAGGACTTACCAAAGTAAATGCCAACCTGGGGCTCATCCCTGCTCTAGTTCTGCATGAGCCCTTACAAATGAGCATCCATGCAAACCCCACTGACTGCTGAGCTATTGTGGCATTATGATGGCTGTCTCTTGATGGGACCAGGACTTACTCACCTTTCAAGTTCCACAGGTTTAGCCAATGCTTTTGAAATGGGATGAGGAGACACAAAAGTGGGTGTTGCTGTTACTGCCTTTAATTAGACAACACGATATGAAGCCTGTCCAGTGTGAATTCTCAGATGAGCCAAGAACAAGAAGTCCATACAAATACACGTGGGCTTAAGAAATCATGGTAATTTTGTAAAAACAACCAATAGTGCTGTTTGAATTTTGCAGGGCAGATTTTCCCATATCTTTGCTATTGGTGGTGATTTGTAGTAGTGTGATGGCTTGTGCAGGTGATTTCAAGCATGTCATCAGACAAAATGTCCTCAAATCTTCTCTCACTTCTCTTTCTTTCAAACACTTAGTTATTTCCTCTGCATTGCATTCTGCACCCTTTTTTTCTGGAATGCAGTTGCAGATCTACTACTCTAATTTTGCCTTTTACAAAGACTGGGAATCCAAAGCTGTAAGGAGAACAGGAAGACTGCCTGTGTCAAGGTATGGCTAATGTATTTGTCAGATATAATGTCTCTGGTCTTTGCTGGCCCATTATCAATGTTATACAAAAGTCATATTTTGTATTCAAAATTTTACTTTGCCTTCATTTTTACTTTCAATAACTGCATCTCTGGAAAGTAAAATACAGGGTTATAATATCAGAAGATTGAGGGCTTCTGTTATGCATATTTTAGCCAAAATACACAAAAATAACTTTATGTTAGTTAATAATTATAATTTTAAGCAAAAATTGCTGAATGTGAACTTTTCATGAGATAGGAGAAGCTTGGAAACCTTCTGGTAGTGCTGAATTCTTTAATACTAGAGTATATAATAGAATCACAGAATTATAGAAGGGTTTGGGTTGGAGGGGACCATAAAAATCATCTAGTCCACCCACTTTCATTAAGTCAGGCTACCATCTAACTTAAACCTTCCCTCTTTCAGTTTAAAAACATTGCCCCCTGCCCTCTCATTACCTGCCTATATAAAATGTCCCCCTCTCTCTTTTTTCAGCCCCCTGTAGGTACTGAAAGATCTCAGTGAGGAGTCCCTGAAGCCTTCTCTTTTTCACCCCAACTCTTTCAGCCTATCTTTGCTGCTGAGGTGCTCCAGCCTTTGGGCTCAGCATCTTTGTGGCCTCCTCTCACCCTGCAATTTGAAAAGAAGTATAATCTGCAATTAACTGCCAATATCATGTATTTGAAGCCATCAGTATTTTAGTTCGTCATATTTCATTCCACATATGACAATCTCCATCTTGCATTCAGATATCTGAATCTGCCCATAAATGTTCCTAACAGATCTTGCAGGCCATAATGTTCACAGTCACTTCTGTATTACCAGGAAAAGAGAGCAACACAGAGCCACAAAGAGAAATTTAACCAAAACCACATAATCTATTTTTTATTTACAGTTCAACAGTTCTTGAAAGAGGATTTTTTTTTTTATATACAAACACCTCTTGTTCATTACCTGGGACCAGTTTTCACTTTAGTTTTAATGTATTTCACAACAGATAAGCAAAGGACAGACCTGACCTTCCCATCAGGCTAACTGTATATGGTCACTGAATCCCATGTACTGGGCTGTCTTAACTTCCATTCTGCAGCTAGGGTTCAGTGCAGTGAACTGCATGACCTATTGTAAATCATTAACAGCAGCCTGCTTGTACAGGTATTTCTGGTGAGAAGCATTTAAATGTAGTCACCTAGAATGAACCACTGTGAATTTAGCTGATGAATGATTTTGCTCCACATCTCCTAAGGAGGTTTATTGTGTATAAAGAATTAAAAGGAATTTTATGTATTGCTGATGGTACTTATGAGGTTTCGATTACAGTTACACTCTCTTGGACGCCTGATCTGCTAGTGTAATGAGAAATGTCTGAATGCACTATAACAGAGAGGGTCTTTTTTTAACTTTCTGTGTGTTCATTGGTCCAGATCCCTAACCATTTTATGTGCTCACCCAATGAATTGTACTGGAGAGCCTAAAGCTGCCCACTGAATTCCTGCTGCACCTGCATCATTCCCACAGAAGGAGGATCACTGTGTGGGATTTGAGATCTGTACAGATACCCTGTTGTGGGCATTGCATGACAACATTTGCTTCCTGGTTTACTATGCCAAGCACCAGGAGCCTCAGCAGAGTCACACCAAACTGAAGGAATTTTCAATTTTCCTCTATGGATCACAGGACTGCCAAGTATTACTAAATACACTGGTAAAAGTACAAAAATGTGGAAGATTTCCTACAGCTATGATCTTCTGAACCACTTCTTGGGTATAATCAGCAAACTTTTTCTTCCTTCAAATGATAAGAGGACCACTGGTTTTAAGCTCACTGCAGTGACTTGGAAAATTTTGTGGACTGATAGAATTATTGCAAGATAAATGCAGAAAGTAAACAGAGCCTGTAAGGAGCTCAGAACAGACATAGCTATTCGGCAATTAGGGTCTGTTTGCTTTTGTAATCTGTGCAATTATTGTGATTGAGGACACATCTGATAAAACATTTCCCTTCCTACTTACAGTGTGCTACAGATACACTCAAGCAGACAAAGGTACTTCATTATTGTAATGGAATTTCCAAGCAGAAAACCCAAACATTTTGCTAGATCAGGGCTCCATTAAGTCTTGTTTTATTTATAAGTGGACAATTGCATGTATCAGCTATTCCTTTGTTCACTGAAACAATCTTTAGGCCTGCATCAGAGGATGTCAGCTTTAGTTCCTTCCTATGAATTCTGAGAAGTGTGCATGTAGTTACCTCATGCTGTGATTTACTTTACTTCAGTATCTTTTTGCCCTTCACTTAAGTGATCCTTTCTTTTTACAGCACTTATTCATGTTTATTCCTCATAAACTGATGGAAATTTCTTTATATAAGCATTATGTAACTCTAACAGCCTTCTGTCATTCCCATATTTTCCACTATAAAGTATGAGTAACCACCCTGAATTGACACAGTTGTCAGAGAAGACAGGGAAGAACCAGTAAACAATTAAGATCATCAAGTGGACTTTGAATTCTGTGTTTATGACATCCTTCAGTCAGAAGAGCAAAACAGGCACTGAAGTCCTAAGGCCTCACAATAGGGTTCATGCCGAATCTGTGTTCTGTCCCCATCCTTGCATTATTTGCACATTACAAATCTCCTCAGCAGGCGTTACCAGAATGTCATTTCTGACAGCCACAATTCCTTGTCCTTTGGGATTGTGGCATTGTGTTGGGGTTTTTTATGTATTTTTGGTTTTTCTCTTCCCAAGAAAAGAAAAAACAAAAATATCAGTCTAGATAACAGAAACAACAAATGGTATTGCTGTGCTCTGAAAAGTTTGGAACATGTCAGAAAAGTTTGGAACATGTTAGAAACGGGCAAAGTTTATGTTCAATAAAAAAGGAAGGGGGCTGTTATTTCCACCAGAACTATTAGCCTCCCCCAAAGAAGAAAGAAAGTGAATAGAAACAGGACGATCATTAAAAAAATTATTGTTTCCAACTGAGGGCTTGTCCAAATTACAGTTCATAACTTGCCTCCTGCCGTGATATTGGACCAAACTCAACAACTAAGAAAATATATTTGCAGTGGAAGCAAAAATTAATATTAAGATTATTGTTTCTTTACAAGCTATAGACAAAGGGCTACAGAAGCCTATGAACAGAAAGGGGATTAATGTAAGAAATGGAATTATCAGACTCCTAGACTGTTAATTTGGCAATTATTAACAGCTTCATCTATGTTCATAAAAACATCCTGTGGAAGCAGATTTTTATTCCGCTCAGAAACAGTAATGCTTCAGACTGAAGTTTAAGCATATTTAGTTCATATATTTCTAAACCAAATTAATTACATCTGTTTTAATCCACAACCAAGATTATAATATTTCCTACCACTTGATTTAAGACAGAGGAACTTTTTTCCTCAATATTTATTGAGTCAGAGCAATGATCTAAGGTAGGGTGAACATTAAAAAGTAAGATGCTTATGGCTTATCACTTTTAATATAGTTGAAATCATCTTAATATTGTAAAAGTTATAATAAATATAATAATAAATAATACTATATTTAGTATTTATTGTCACAGGGATCATTGCTAGCAACAGGTGCTTTTTATCTCTCGGCAAGGCATCTGAGGGGCTGCAGGTGTCTCTGAATACAGTATGGGAGGAAATACTAACTTTTCCATAGCAATCACTGTCCATTTCCATCCTCAGTGTGCTTTCCACAGCAAGGTGCTTGTTTTATACAAAGCTCCTTCAGCTCACTCTGCCTCAGTTCTGAGTTCTTCAGTACTTGTTAGTGGCATGTCGCAGCAGCACTCAGTGGTATTACCTATAGTTTGTAGGTTCAGCACTTGTTAATCAAACCTTGTCCACATCCTCTCTACAAAGAAAAGGAAAAGGAAATGGACAAGGAGTTTTGTTCTTCCTTTGAGAGTGTCTCCACCTGTGTTGCTGTAATTGTCAAGAGAACAACTGTCAGTCACCAGTAAGCTGCATCACTTTAATTAACCCTTTTAATAGAGCTGTATCTGCTTCATTTTTTTGGCTACCTCTGTGCTCATGCAAGAATTGGTGGATGTGGTACACACCAAATGCTTCCAGACAACCTTACAGGATTTTATCAGTGCTGGGAACAAACCCCAACACCTGAAGCAGGAGGTGAGCAAATTGTCTATCAATTGAAACAGAAAAGGGCACTATTGCACATACGAAGGTTTGGTAGCAACCCAGCAAAGAATACAAGATGTGTTTCCCTAACAATATAACAAATAAACCATGCTCCACTTCCTAAAAGAACTTCAGGTCTAGTATGAAGTCTATCTGTTTTCTGCATTCTGTCTTCCAAGGCTACTGAACAGAAGTTCACATCTTTCTCATTCTTTCCACTCACCAGTGGAAAAGAAGTGCACAGGACTTCTACAGCAGAAACCCACAAGGTCAGCAGTTCCCTATCTCGCATCCAGCCTAAAGCAAAATGCTTATCTGTGCAGAAGATGGCCTCAAGCCATAGATCTAAGCAGTTTCAATCTCACCACCTTGAACTGTGAGGGCACACCAACTTTTTAAACATGGATTTTCCCATAAACGCACATAACATGTACATTGGAGGAAATCAAAGCAAAGTAAACTGCTGTTGAACTAAAACATCATGCATAAACAATTCTCTCCCCAAGGAAAGGGAGTAGGAAAATAGTTTAATCTGGATGTCCATAGATACCTTGGTGATCCTGGGGTTAAGAAAATATAACAGTGAAATACAAAGGTTCAGGTACCTACTGCCAGTAGCTAGAGCTTCATTACTTTCATGTAGTGACATTGATTTAAATGTCTGAAGTTCTGGGCCCTAGCTGTCAACAAAGTTGAAGAACTGGGAGGTTCTACAGAGAAAAGCCTGAGAGCAGAGTGATATAATCAAGAGCAGCTGGGCCAAAGGAGCCCAGTATGCACATGCCCTCAGACGGAGCACAGCATTCTCTAAGGCAAATATCAGATAAAGCGCACGAGAAAAAACCTGCTGGCTCAGCGTTTTTGTAAACAGAGAAGTGCCTTCCCCCCTCACTGTGGTTACCACTGTGTTCAGAAAATAACTCCTCAGCCCATCCCCCTTCTCTGACTGTACCACTACCTCCAGCTGACTGGGGTGACGGACAAACTGCATTACAAGATATCCGAAGTCATGGTAGTAAAAATGCTTCACTGTTGTGCACAATAAATGGTTTCCACTTGGGATTAGTTAATGGAGAAATATTTTGGGTACTTTTTGCTCAAGGGGTTTCATTTGCTTGCAGAGTCGTTCAGAAAAAGCTCCCTGAACTTTGAACCGTATCTGCAAAGTGAGATAAACAAGAGCCATATAAATACCACAGCCCTTTTCCCCACACAGTTTCCTTCTGCAGCGGAGCCAGGCAGAGCTGCCAAGAAGGGGGAGGAGGAGAGGGTAAGTGTGCTGGGTTTGCTGTGAAAGAGCTTCATGACTTAAGATCTGGCAGAGTGTTTGCTTGTTTCTTTGGCTGAAAAGGCTGACTGTGGAAATTTCCATTGGAAACTAAGTTGAAAGTTGAAATATGAAGAGAAGTATAAGGCATGCCATGGCTCTCCTGCAGCTCACAGGGCGGACAGCTGTTGCTGGGTGCTGCATGCCAGTGCTGCAGAAGGCTGCTGGAAAGGCAAGGAAGGATACCAAAATGTCACGAGAGTCTCATGTGTTCTTAAGGGATATAAAGGCAGGCTGCTTTCCCGATTTGTGGAAAGAATGGAAAAAGGCTGTGTTGGTGTACACTGGACCACAGTTTAGTCTTCAAAGTACTTTACCTAGAACGTCAGGAAAGAACTGTCAGAGACAGCTGGATTTCACAAATCACTCTTTTTCAAAAGGTCAATTATTATTAATCTTTTAGGCTATAACAAGGTGGATAGAACATGTGTTATTTATCAGAATTTATTGTTTCCAAACTGTTTTATGGTCATTGTCAGACTTTGATGTAAGTGGTGAAATTGTACAATTCCACAATCTAGGACATGTTAGGGAGCAGCTTCATAATTTTATATGCTTATAATTTTAAATATTTCTTGATAATGTGTGTTTAAGCCAAAATTGAGATGTTAGTGGAATAAAATGAAAAGGTAATTATAGAATTTCTTACAAGCTTTGATTGTCATAAACATTAACTGAACTAAGTATGGATATGAGATTTCATAAGATCTGAGGAGTCCTGAAATTCAGTTTTCATTTCTGGTTTTTGCAAAATTGTTTCTGGTGCCTGACTTCTTCATAGCTTTTTCTCAATGGAATCCAGATACTCCAGACTGACTTGTAAAAATTTTGAAGTGTTTTATGTTATTTTCTGCTGTGTTCTGTAGTACTTGCTGTGTACTGAAATCCGCTGTTGGTGCGTATACTTTTAAGACAGTGGAATTACTCTGTAACTGGAGTGAACGGGTCCAGATTCTTCCTGACATAAACAGGCTTACCACAATTTATATCAAAAAACAAGAAACAAGGCCACTTTAAAATCACTGAAGTGTTAAAAATGGTCAAAAAGAAATTACAAAGAGAAAGATTAGTAGTACTAAAATAAAATTCCAGTTATTCTGAATGTTTACTTTGTAGCTGTTCAAACACAGTAAAAAAAACCAAAAATCACAAAAACCTTTAAGCACCACAAAGAAAAAACACCTACCTCTATTATAGAGGAACTCTACTGAAAAACCAAAGAAACTGAGCAGTAAACAAAGAGGTCAAATTTATTCTTAGAGGAGTTTGTTTGTTTGGTTGGGTTTTTTTTGGTTTTTTGGGGTTTTTTGTGTGGGTTTTTTTTTTGCTTTTTTTGTTTGGTTGGTTTTTTTGTTTTGTTTTGGTTTTGTGGGTATTTTGTTGTTGTTTTTGTTTTGTTGGGGTTTTTTGTTTTGTTTTGTTTGTTTTTTACTGAATGGAGGTAATATGCTGCTGTGTTTTCTTATGGGAATTTCAGATTCTGAACTTTGTTTAGGCATTGGCCTTACATTATTTCTTTTCTCTCTTCTCAGGTAAAGCCCAGCCATGTGGGCAGGTCTGGGGCTGGTTCTGGCCCTCTGTCTCCTCCCAGGAGGAGGGGCAGAGACCCAGAACTGCCAGGAGCCCCCGGAATGGCGCATCGGGGAGGAGGACCCGATGTGGAGCTCCAGAGGCTCGGTGACAGTGGTGGCTCTCCTCCAGGCCAGCTGATTGTTGTGCCTGCGGCAGGCTTCCAGGTAAGCGTGGATCTCGTCCCCATTGGTGTTATCCAGCTGAGAATGCTGCCTGTGCCCTGCCACGGGTGCACTCCATGAAATCTAGCTGCCCAAATGCCACCATCACAGCTGGCACGTGTGACCCAGTGACCTGGCTCACTATCAGCAGAAGGGTTCTGTGCCAGTGGGTAAGGCTCTTTATCTCTTGACCTACTCCTGACTGGCAGATTGTCTTCTCCAAATTAGATTTACAGCATAATAAATAGTATGATCAACCTGACATTAATGAAACCCAAACCACAGGAACACCTGACAGAAACAGCAACAGATGATTAATGTAGCAAAAAATGGTGAAGCCAAGAAGTATCACAATTCTTTAACATGGTTGGATTCACCTGAAATAGAGAGATGAGTGATCACTGATTTCTTATGTAAGATCTGCAGGGGAAAAAAAGAAACCAAAACATGTGCTTTTCATGTGGCTTTTTAGCCTGTGCTCAGAGATACCACATATATTTTAAAAATCCAGAAGTTAAGGTAAATACTGTCCTGTCAAAAAATACATGAAGCATTCAAGGAAGGTTAGGTTTTCATCCAAGACCTGGGACGTTGGTGCTGTATTTTCTAGAACTTACTCCTTGCAAATAATTGGCTATCATGACAATAACAATAATAATAAAATAATTTCAAGCTGAGCCAAACAGGAATTGCATAAAGCTTTTATCTTTGATTCATTTAGGATTTGTGAAATTATTTTGGCTTAAAAATTCATAGTACCATTTTCAGATTTGGATTTTTAGTCACAGTGAGAACATCTTAGTTTGCTCCTCTAGGCTGCACAATTTACATATCATGATAGGCTTTGCAAGGTTATTAAAAATTTGGTTTAAAAACATAGTGCTAAATCTGTGGCTCCATCAAAGTTAAAAGTGGGCTTCATGTTTGGCTTTCAAAGTAATTTGATTTGGTTATTAATTTAAAAAAAAAATTTAAAAATCTTTCACATTCTAGACTGTTTCCCATAACTGAAAACTAAAAGTTTTCTAGAGCAATTCCATAGGAAAAATACAAATGAAAGGGAAGAAACTCCACATCATGCATCTGTGATAAAAGCAAGATGGAGCATATTAACTTTTGTGTCAAATATCATGATTCTGTAACGATTTATGGTCTTGCTTCTCTACACTCCCACTAGTTTGGAGGACCTGCGAGTAAAGTTAGAGAATGAAGGATTGGTCAACATCTCGTATGTGATTGTCAACCATCAGGGAGCTCAATCCCGGAGGGAATTTCACCTGCTAAAAGAACGTGTTTCAGACTACATTACTGTCTACCAGCAAGATGAGCAGCAAGAGGATGTCTGGACTACTTTAAATGGAAACAAGGATGACTTTCTTATCTATGACAGGTGTGTGCTTACAGACAAACATGGAAAAATATTTGCATATATTTTGTGTTATGATTTGCAAATCTCTGTATTATTACATTGATATGAAAGTAACAAAAAAATCATCATGCTCAGCTTCTAAGCTGTACTACATAAAGTGCTAGCATTTACTGGAAAAACAAAGTTACAAGAGCAAAATCTGCTTTTGCATAATAATTTTGGAAGAATTTTTTTTTCTTTATAATTACCGCTGATTTAAATGGACAAAAGTGAGTGTAAAATTTGGTAACATGTTCATGGTTTTGTGGTGTTTTTATTTTCAGATAACTTCATTACATCCATGCATATCAAAGCAGAATCTTTTATCTCATGGAAACTTTTTGATGAGAGTTATTGAAAATGCCATGTAGACATAAGGAAAATTAGTCTTTAGGTAAAACTTAAAACTTCAGAAGAAAATTGCTTTTTGGTATAGGTTTCTGTCACAAGTATATTTTGGCAGCATCACTAGGAACTGTAGTTGAAATCCCAATTTTTCCATTTTGATATGATGGCAGTGACTTGAAAAATCCTACACTTGAAACATGTCTATCCTTGTTACTTTATATTACTGTAATGAACATTCCAAGTTCATATGAAACCATACATAAGCTTAATACAGAGTTAGAAAGTTATTATTTTTCTGTAATGTGATGAATTTAAACAAATTAGCTACATTAGGTTTGTGGGATGAAACTAGCAGTGGAATGAACGATCTTGAATGTTACAGCAGCAAATATGCCCAAGTAAGGAAGGCTGATGTCATACAACAGACAAAAAGAACAGTGCTGCCTTTCGTCTGGGAGGGGGCCCAGACACCTTGCCCAGAGCATTTGAAAGGTTGACCAGTTCTGTGCTGTTGACACGCAGGGTATGTGTACATTATGAATTGGCTTAGCACTAGCCAGGCTGTGATCCATCAACAGGAGTCTGTGTTCTTGCTGTGCCTTAGCCATGAAAGCTTTGCTTGCTGCTGGTCCTAAACGTGCAGTCCACACGTGGGGAGCTAGGGCCAGGGGACTGTGTGTTGGCAGTGAACGAGCTGCCCTTGTGTACAGGTTCTGCATTTTCTCCAGCTCCTTTGAGCAGATCAGTTGTGCAGTCAAGTGCATATCAGAACCCTCAAGTGCAGACATGGGGCAAGCAGGCACCATAACAATCCCCCCATTCACATTAAATCCGTAGTGCAGGTGCACCGCAGTGCCCATCCCAGTCAAAATACCTGTCAGGTTGCCTAAAAAACACAGGGTAATGCAGCAACCACTCTGCAAAGAGCCCTTCTCATTATCCCAATGGGTCTGTAACAAGTGCACCTCTCTCAGTCTCAAGTGCCACTAAAGGACAGGCTTCTGGCAGTGCAGCTACCACATCAACCAATCATGCTTCACATCCTGGCCAGTGCAGGTGAGCAGGCAAGCATTTGTAAGGATTTTCCTGTGAAGTGGAACAAAACCACTCCCTGTGGAGCTGTACAGTGTGCGTGGTTTGATTCAAGTAAAGTGAGATACCATAAGAAGAGAGATTTAGTTGTAGGTATTTGTAACCACGGAGTTCTTTCTCTCCTTAGATGCGGCCGTCTTGTGTATCATCTGGGTATGCCCTACTCCTTCCTGCATTTCCAGTATGTGGAAGAATCCATTAAGATTGCATACTGCGAAAACAAGTGTGGAAACTGCTCTTACATGGTATTTTCTTGTCTTATTCCGTGTATAAGAGAAAAGTGGATTTGATTGGTACTTTAAAAATTATTTAAGTGTAATAAATCCAAAAATATACTATTTCAAATTTACACATTTCATGCATCTTGACAGATAGCTTTTAAACATTTTTCTAAGCAAATTAGATCTGATTTCTAATTGATTGATTATCTGAATTCCTGTCCTTGATAGAAATGCAAGTAATTGTCAGAAGTGTAAATGAAATCTTGGAGAATAATTCTCTTTGTAGAGCTATAGAGGTAGTGAGCAATTAGCTACTCTAATTTTGTGGGATAGGTAAGTATGTATTTTTTTTAAAAGCCAGGAATCAAACTCAAGCTGGCTTGCATTACTGTTCATTGTAGTTTGCATTTAAATACAGTCTATAGGAGTTATTTTTAAAAAGTGATAATACAAGGTGACAAATTATAAAAGAATAGTAGCTTTCTTTAATGAATAATTCAAGACCAGAAATATTTTTAAGGATTATCGAGAAATGTACATACTTCATGGAAGTTCAACAAAATAATACTTTTTGATCCCACTGGGCAACATTCTGGCTAAATGTAGACCACAGACAGGTCAGATGTAATATCTAGGATAAGAATACTTGTTATTAGCAATTACTGGAATGATAATTGCTAGAAAGCCCTGTCTAGTTGACAGTGGTGTGACAGCACAAGGCTATATTTGATATGTTCATATGTTCAGCAGAATAGCACAAATAACTTAAAAGTGCCTTTTATGCTCTGCAAAAAAAGTCAGTTAATACTTTACCTCTACTTTAATTGAATACAGTGCCCTGTATTCAATGCAAGCATCTGTTTTGCAGGAACCTGATACTGATGGTGTATGTGAAAACATCACTAAAAAAGCAGTTGAAGAGCTGTCAGAGATAGAATCCAAGCCGACAGAGCAGCATTCCCATCCCCACCCGCACAGACATGGACACCACCACCGCCGCCACCACCACCACCACCACCATCAGAAGGGCAGCCGTGATCCCAAACACGAGGCCCACCAGGCTGCTGCCGAAACCGAGAGACATCCTCCTCCCAGCGGCTGGCGCCACAGGCTCTTTGGCCGCCACAGACACGATCAGATAGGTAGTCAGGAGCACGTAGACACTGCCCCTCCAGGAGAAATTGTGGAAATTCCACAAGATAAAAAACTACGAAAGAAAGGGAAAAACAGCTGCAAAAACCAGTTAACTTGAAATTGGCAGACAGGATCAGACTCTGCCTCTAGCAGCTGATCCTGTCATTGTAGACACCTTCTGTTTGAAGAGCTAGGGAATTCTGTCACCTGACAGTGTCGCGGAGCACTACCAAACTCTTGCAGGTGACACGGGCAGCTGGCAGCAGAGGACGTCACTGAGTCTTGTCAGTGCCGTCTGCTCTCTGCTGCCTGACATTCATCACCAGCAGGAGCAAGTGAAACTAGTGACACCTGACAGTGACAGGAAAAGGCAAGAAACTGATCCTGAAAAACAAACTAAGCACCTTCCAGAAACAAGGGAGTCATGCTAGCTCAGTTAATGTAGACCAGAGCAGAAAAATGAACAGATTATCTGTTTTTATTGCCCCAAATTAAAAATTATGCTGACAGGTATGGGTATATTGCAAAGAAGTGTATTTTAGAGCAGCGCTCTTAGAATGACACTGAATATCTGTCAAAGTCCATCAGTGAAATCTTCCTGATTTAAAGGAATTTGGTTGACCCCTAGTTTGTTTTTCAGTTCCGCAGGGAAGGTGTCTCCATTCTTGATTAATTTGTCTTTCTTGTTTCTCTTCTAACATGTTTTTGCTTGCATTTGTGAGGACAGGAGCATAAACTATGACCTAGGGGCTCCTGTCTGATGTTTTGCAATCAAGAACAGAAGATAACCAAGAGAGATATTTTAATCATTTTTTATTAAGAAGACAATAGATGTGAAAGTTGAGTTGTTGTTTTTTTTTTCTAACCTGGGGATACAAATCATGTACAAGCACAACTTACTCCTAAGCAATGTGACAGAATAATTCCACATAAAAAATGCAATATACAGACAGTAACTGCTTTATTTTTAAGTAACAGATAGATATACTTAACTTTGACAAAGCTTTCTTAACAAAGCTAAGAGCTTTGTGGCTCTTAGGTACAGTAAGAGGGTCCATTAATACATACTGCTACAGCACGTAAAATCCTACTAAATCAATTAGATCATCCTGAAATGAGAAGTAGTGTCAACAACCAAGAGTCAGAATCAAAAAGAGGGTGGGATGAAACAAGTTTAATCTTGGTGTAATGTTGATCTTTGTTTATAACAGTGCTGAATTGGGTAAGTCTGTATCAATTAGCAATCTGCATCAATTAACATAATATACCACTTAAACTTGTATAACTTCTTTCTCTATAGCCTAGCATTCCTAATGTTTGATTAACTGGATGGAAGTAAATCCAGTTGTTTGAAGGATTCCTGGATGAAGAAGAGAATATTCATGAAAAGAAAACTGCTATGAAAGCATACACCATAATTAATGATGGTTTAATAGGGAAATTACTACTCCTACAAACCTGAATCTTTTTATTGTGACTGCTGATTAGCAAGAGAGTAGCTTTGAATGTACACAGAATGCACGCCTTTGGAATGTTTGACAAGAGTGTTTTCAATAAAACATACTTTCTTCATATCTTGTTTTTATTTTGAGATGCAGAATTTGAAACACTGAAATACTTCAAGTCATTTACTCAGAATCTCCTCCGTTTGAAGGGCAGGTCTTGGCCTTTATTAAGACGTTGCTCCAAGTCTCTTATCGTGTTTCGGAGAATTTCAATTTCCTTGTTTTTCTCTTCCTGGAGATGCTGCAGCTTCTGTAAAATTGCAGGCAAAGGGTTCATTCTTAAACATCACATAAAATTATGTAACAATACATTTTACTACTGCAAGTAAGATATATTCTAATAAGAATATTTTCCTTGGTACTTTGTATTCACAAAATCACAAAAAACTATTTCCCCAGAATCCTGTTTTTCTGCCATCCCAAAGTCTTAAGCCTGAAAAAAACAAAACCAAAACCAAAACAACAACAACAACAAAACAAAAAACAAAACAAAAAAAACCCCAAAACCAAAAAACATATGCAGAGTATTATATCAGTGTCACTGATGTCAGTTCTAGTTTCATTTTCCAGGTTAACAATTCTGTAGTAAAACACCTCACATGTTGCTTTTCATTGCTTGCCCACAGTAGTATCAGTATGTAAAGAGCCATGACAGTTGGGAGTTCATCTTAAAAACCTTTTTTATCTTAAATTATTCTATGATTCTATGAATTGAGTTGTGTAGAGGCGGGAGGGATGTGTGGGGCAGAACACACGGAGAGAAACCCCAGAGAACTCCCGCTTCAAACACCCTGAAACAGCATCTGTGTGCTACACACTATGAAAGCACCTACCCTTCGATAGATACTTTGTGGTAAGACTGAAGCCTCTGAAAAAGACTTGGTGGTTTTATCCTGAGCTCTTGCCAATTTAGCATTGAACTGAAAGAATCAGGCAAAGACAAAAGGTGAGAATGAACGGGGGGTTGGAAAAACTTGTATTAAATATGTCAAGTGTAATTTTCACTTTTTATTAGTTGCATTTTTTTACCAGAGAGTAGTAGCAGTAAGCCTTTCTACTAAGTCTAGAAAAGCAAGGCTACTTATGTTTATTTTTAAAAGAATGCAGTTACAAGCTGTATTTCTTAAAAAAAAAAAAGCCTCAAAGTTTTGCAAAAGTACTACAAATATGATTAACTAAAACCATGTAGATAAAAAGATCCTTCTGAAAAAAATAATTAAATTGAAGGCTTCTCAGCCACATATCTACAGGAGCAGAAAATACAGAAGGTACTAAAATCCTTCAGAACCATCACTCTTCTCTTATGGTCCAAGGATAAGTCAGCCTGAACACTTCCACATTTTATTTCTTTTTTGATGTGTGAAAGGTTTGAAGTATTTCCTTAATTCCTTCTGTAATGAGAGTGTTTTAAAACATGAGCAATGAAATACATGCTGAATGCTCTGTCTTAAATCTCTTCAGGACTAGAAATTTTTATTGGAATTTTATTTAAAAATATATATGTACTCACCATTTGGTTGGAAATTTAAAAAAAGTTAAGCAGAAAACATTGATGAATTTTTTAATAGCTCAAAATCAAAAACTGTTTCTAAGTAATTTAATTTGGAACAAGAAGACAGCAACCTTCAGTCTCCCTATACAGTAGGTGGAACTTGACTCCTGAGCACAAGTCAGTTACCATTGTGGAAGGGAGCACCTGACACTGATCCGCATAAAGACAATAAATAATTAAGTTTTCTAGATTCCATCATATTACTTTGTTAAGTACTAATTAATATTTTTTCACTACACAGTCTTTGAAACCCAATGCCCAGTTCATCTTTAAGTCAACTTTGTAATGCATACCTCTATCTGCAGTTTAATTATTTCATTCTGCTTCTCTTCATTTTGAATTTTCAGCTGTCTAGTTAGCTCTAATATTTCCAGTTCTTTTTTCTCTCTCTCTTCTCTATACTCCATTTCTTTTACTTCAACTAGCAACACAGTAACACCAAAATTATTATTATAATATATGAAATTATATAGATGAAAAATTAACATCATATTCCAAATATTAAAACTTTCTTGAACATCAGGTCAACATTTCACTGGAGAACAATTTAAGCAAAAACCATACTGAAACTATATGAAAACCACACTGTCCTTTTAAAAAGTCACCAGTAAGATGGTGTCTTTTTAAAAAAGGCACATAATTTACAAAAACTTTCCTTGTTTTCACCTACATGGGCAACCAAAAAAACCCTACTTTTTAAGGCTATATCTCTAATGAAGCAAATGAACATAGAAATCAGTTTTTTCCTCATTGAAGTATTACTTATTTGTGAAAATAATGTTCTGCTCTCCTGAACACAGATAGATTTGAACAGCAATCTAGCTTACAGTTCAAAGTAAAGTTCCAGTTGATACTTAACTGAAAATTTCATTCCTTCTGATTTTTATGCTCACATTCCCAGCATTTGTTCTAACTATCTGGGAATTTCTGCTCATTCCGTGTTGTTGTATTATTGCTTCATTACCACTCTCTGCTCTCTTCAGCAAAGATAAAATTCCATTAAACACTAACCACTTCTAGTGTTCACGTGTTTCCACTAAGAAGTGGAATTCATATTTATCCTAGACAAAACGTAGCACCTACAGGTGACATTGCTAAAGCATTCAGTCTTCAGAGAACTTACATTTTTTCCTTGTATCACAATTCAACTGTGTTATTTCTAATTTGTGGTCTTCCTCTTTGTTTTTAATTTCTGTCATGAGTTTCTCAATTTGATCTTTATACTCCTGTGAATGTAAAGTGTTTTATAAAGATCTTGCAGTTTCTGTGCTCTTAGCCTTCTGCAAAGCACAACCATCATGTAAAAATACACAGTACTCATTAATTCAGTACTTGTTTTATCCTCAGTCTTGTAAATTTAAATGCCCACTTACTTCTTACACAGTCTGGCTGAAGTCCACAGATGAAAAAATATAGCAGGTTTCATTGTACTACAATTATCTGTTAATGTAAAATTAGACACTGTACTTCTTAGGAGAACAGGCAAATGGAGAGGTAATAGTCCTTTCCTGAGAACAGGATCTGACACAATGATTCAGTTAGTTAAGGGACTACAGTTTCACCTTTGTGGATTTTTGACTCAAGGATTGCATGATTCAAGTGTGAATTTTGTTAGTATTGCTTATACGAAGGATTCCACAACTTCATGTTGGCAGCAGTAGACACATCAGTGATACCAGCAGCAGTAACACTGCTGGCACTGATGTTCAAAGTTTGAAGATGCCAGTTATAAATTTACTGCAATAACTACTCCAGAATTTTCAAGGAATTGTCTGTAGCTGCCACTGTCAAGGTGGTGTCTCCAAAGCTCTCTTGTTGCAGCCTTCTGAAAAGGTGGCCACTCACCAGAGCAATGCCTGGGGGCACTCACCGAGGCAGTCACTGGGGATCAGTACGTAGGGACATAGTCAGGCACCTTCAGAATGACACCAGGAAGTCCCACCGTGCTCACACGTGTTTAATGAGTAGAATAATAATTTATAAATAAATTATAATATCAATATAATGAATTATTCAATAATTGATCATATGTATTTATAATATATATAAATCCTTCAGAAGACATTACTCACTTTTTACTTGAAAAGTCAAGATAGTAGCTCTACTGGTGCTAATATTTAAGTTTAACTAATAGCACAAACACAGGCAAAGGATATCATCAGTGAGATTCCTGATCCTAAATAGATAACAGATCTGCACTCTCCACACAGAGAACTATGAAAACAGAGAACTATGACTAGTGCTGCTGGTTTTACCTCCTTTGCAAAAATGAGTGCCATAGATACAAAGTACAGAGATGGAATTTATTATGAGGTACAGATAAGAAATAGAGACCTATTATCTTTGTAGTATTTATTCCTGAATAAACTGGACAAAATTAAGACTGCTCCTGAACCTCTGGCAGCACAACCAGACATCTTCAATGTGAAAACCCTATTTCCAAATAAAAAATTACTTTAGTGCAAGGGATTAGAATAATGAAAGTGAAGTTGAATTTAAAGCTAAACACAGCTAAAAAAACCCCAAGTGCATCTTAGATTGAGCCAAAGTTCTCAGCACCAATGAGTTTTATAACCTCTTAGTTCTTCTAACACCTTCTTACATGGATACTGTCATGAGAACAACCCTTCTCTTTTTACACATGAAAAACATTAACAGAAGAGCACCAATAAGAGTATCAATATCAAATCCTAAACAAAAAGATATACAGCACAATAAAGATGCAGTATTATTCCTTTACCTAAAGAATGATAATTTGTGACATACCTCTTCACAAGTCTTTAATTTATCTTCCAAGATGTGAATGGTTCCCTTCAGTCTATCATTTTCATCTACATAAACAAAAAATTATTGGTACACTAAAAAGTACATTTTGACAATTTTTTTAGCATGAAAGAGGAAAAAGGAAATTACTTGCAATTTTTGACTTGGCTGAACTTTGAGAAACTTTTTTTTAGACAGTATAGTCATCATTACAGAACTATATACTGTCTGTTTCCATTTTTTAACAAGAAAAATCATAGTTTAAGTTTAATCATAATATTTACCTGGTATTACTACTTAGAACTTTCTTTAGTCTTCTGATAAATGATGCATTCAAAAAATCTAGATGCAAAGTTCTTTGACTCAGAAAATAAAAGACTATTATCGTAGCTACAACAGTTTCAAATTGGAATATGCAAGTTCTTAAGTACCTGTTTCCCAAAAACCAGAAAACAGTATGCAAACACAGAATTTAAAGAAAATAGGGTTTTTTATTATTAATATCAGTTTGAGTATTAAAAATATCAATATACTTAAAATGTTAGAGATTTATTAATATATATGCAAATATGCCTTGAATGCATATAATTTATAATAATTAATTATAAAATTAACTTCATGGTGTACTGCTGAGCTATAGTAAAAAGATATAGCAAATATTTATATTTTTCAAGTAAAAATTAGTAGTTGTCAAGTATATGTAGATAACAGCAATAACATTTAATAACATTATATACTAAGGATTAAGACACTCTGGTTTAACAAAGTGATAAAAACTGTGCATAGACACTTGAATAGTCTACAATCCAATAGCTGAATGATACTTTCTCACCTTTTGTAAAATTGCCTGTGTTACGCTACAACGAATTGAAAGCCCAACTATTGATTAAAATAACCTCCTGGAGGCAGTTACTAAGTAAACTATGACAGTAGACATTTATTATTGCACAAGATTGATTTTAGATAACTTTTTTTGTTTCTCTTTGCTTACCAGTAAATTCCTGTGTCTGAAATAAATTAGTAAATATAAATGAAAAAATTAAATGCCTGCTCATTCGAAATTACAGTACAGCACCCAAGTAAAATAGAATTTTTTGCCTTTACCTTTCACGTTACACTGGTTTTCAATGGTTTGTGTTAGACCCTTTATCACATTCTGTAGAGCACTGCATTCTGAAAGAAATTAAAAATCCAGCACTTTTTAATAGTGTCTTCACAAATTTACATTTTGTTTACAAAATTTTATCAAATATTTTATGATAATTTTGGTTAAATGTTACTCTAAGTCTTTTTACTGACTGTAGAAATTACTGTGATTATTAGTAGGTGCTTACTGCTTAATTTTAGCTTTTAGTTTGATGCTTGATTAAAATCAGTTTTATGAAGAAATACAAAAATTTCATAAAAGTATTACATGTTTGTTTCTAGTCCAAAATCAAATATCTTTTTGTTTTCTGGGCAATACTATAAGTTTTCCATATCAGCCTTCCAGCAATTTGATATATTTGATGAAACTGATACTTACTTTCCTGATAATATATCTTTGCCAATTTTCTTTTTAACAAGACCAAAAGAATCCACCCATTGCAGCCTCTCACCCATTTTTTACCCCTTTTTTGATGCATGTGACATTCATCCTATGGCTCAACATAAGCTTTGAGAGATTCAGAATATGTGCTATGGCTCCATTATCTCATTTTATACAACAGAATAAAGGAAAATAAATAAAAATAGATGCAAGCTTTTATCAGTTTACATACATCAGTTGTATTTCATAATTTTATTTTTAAAACTGTATTTTTAATATTCAAACACCATGTGTACTTCCTGTAATATAGGATTTGGTTTTCATTAATATGACTTTTACCCCTTTTGTTCATTGTAAGTTTATCAGTAGAGTCACAAAACTGTCAAAGACTGAGAACAGTGGAGGCTCTACAACTGAGGTTGTTTACTTTTAAAACTTCTCTTTCTCTTTCCTGAATACCACTGCATTTCTTAAACGGCTTTTAATTTCCACAACACATAAAAGTTTGCGAAATAACAGTTACTCATCTCATCAAACTAAAGCCCTTTTGAAAACTATCTATCATATCACTGAAGACTACATTAAAATAATGGAGTGAGGACGATGAACTAAGATCCCAGTTAACAGGTTCAGTTTTCTGCTCAGTCTTTTTGACTCTCAGCCTGATCTTCCATCAAGCCTGCTTTTCTTGCAGCCGAGTACGTTAGCCAGATACTTTTTCCCGTTCCGTGCTTCCAAAAACAACAGTAGAGGGAGCACGAGCAGCACAGAAACATTACCTGCCCATCAGTTCCTGTGCCAGATCAAAAGCAACTGTGGAAAAATCCTATTCAAAGTCGGAATGACGGGATCAGCATGCCCGTCTGTACCAACTATTTCTACTACAAATTTCCTCCCATTTGAAAATGTATGGAAAATAACTCAGATGCTTGTAATTCATGCACAATTTGGAAAGACATCTGAGTCAACACTAGAGCAGCAGCTAGTCTTTAAAAAGAATCACAACTGTTTAAGTGCAAGCCACTCTTTTGCACAGTTCCAAGACTGTACTTGAAGTTGCGACTGGAAAAAAATTCCTGGGAACCCACAAGTTTTGCTTGCCTACATTAAGGAAAAAAGCAGAATTTTTCTTAATGTTTGCAGCCTTGTGGATCACTGTCATAGCATCTGCTATGGATCCTGTGTAGCTCATTCCCTGTAAGGTATAGTGCCTACATGCAGAAAGACTGAACAGCAGAAGTGTTCATCTGCATTTATAATTGATTATTTTATAGGGCAATTATATCAACCACTTTTTCCTTTAACACCATAGAAATGCTAAAAAAACAAACACACAACCCTGAAGATGCTAAGTAGAACCTCCTTAAGTGTTTCACAGGAAAAAATGTGATTGCTTTGTTTTAGCAAACGACATTAGAATTTTATTCAGAACTGTAGCATCACAAGAATCTATTTAGCCATCACAGAAAAAGTTTAGGAGTAGAAAACAAAGATGTCAGACTTGTATCTGTCTAAAATGGATTTGCAATGATGTGCACAAAACAAAAATAGTTTTTTTGAATCTCATCTTTGTTTAGCAAAGAACATATCAAGAGAAAATGAAGTTAATTTATGACCTTTCAGAGAGTGTATACACAGGCCAAGCTGCTTTTCTTTTTCCACCTTATCTTGGGTATAAGTGTTTCACTGTCCTCTCCCTTGATTTTTAGATGTTTTCATTCTTAATATTTTTTTTTTTTTTTTTTTTTTTTCAGAATTTCTGATCTTCTTTTACCTTAAACCGTTCTAGGAAAGACTTTTGATAAGGATGTCAAGGACTCCTCAGGTTCTCACTTGTTGGAGATTTCCTGGGGTGTGAAATACTATTTTTGTTGTTGTTGTTGTTTCTGAAAACAAAGAGTTCTTCAGCCAGGATAAAATTCCACTTCCTCATCCGACTACCACTAGTAGCCACAACCCCTTCAGGGTAGGTGGAACAACAGCCTGTACTTCCACAGCATCTTTCTTCCTGCTCCTCTGCTGTAAGCAACTTCTCTTGCTTTTGGACCAACTCTTTGAAAGATACTTCAGGAGCTGTGGCTGAGCTGGGTTCTGGGAAATAGCTTGGGACATAAGGTTGGGAAAAATATTTTTTTCCAAGCCATAATTGGCAATATCATTCTATAAATGCCATTTTCATGACTACAGACTGTCCAGATAACTATTCCCACATTAAAGACTGAAAGTATCAATGCTGCATTTGGTCCCTGGTGCCTCTCCAGTGCTGCAGAGGACCCCTCTATAACCCCATCAATATTAAAGGTGATTTGGTGTTCTCTTTTAATCCCACAATGCTTTGCCCTTCCAAAAGGTTTTTATAAAGAATTTAACTATTAGATGGAAAAGTTTTAGTACTCTGACTCTGAATACCACATATGCTATTACCTCTTTTGAAAGGTCAGTGTGAAGGTCAATTTAATAAAGATGCAAAGACTATCAATTGCAAAAAGAAAAAAAAAAGGTTTAGAAATGTTGTAGACTTACTAATTTATAATCACTACATCAGCCTTTCATATCCTTTTGAAGTACTCCTAATGTCACTACCACTATTCACAGGCTCTGCTCATTTCCACTAACATGTTAACTGTTTACCTGAAGGTTCCTGTGACAGTCTCTGCCCAGTTTATGTCAATTTTCTGTCTAAGCCATTTTTTTGAAACTCTGCTTTATGAGCACCTAGTAATGAATACAGTTCAAAACTATAAACTTACCAGCATTTCATGCCCTGATATTTGAAGGGTTTGCCTTATTGGTAAGAGCATTAATCTAATAGTTTTCCTTACTGTTAAGTACAGAACCACAGAAAGGGCCCTTACTGGGTGATCTGGCCCAACCTCTCTGCTCAGGCAGGGCCACCCAAGAGCACACGGCACAGGATTGCGCCCAGATGGTTCTTGAATAGGTCCAGCAGGGGAGACTCCACAACCTTTCTGAACTTAACCTAACAGAGCAGCCATGATAATTGTCTCTATTTCTAAATACATTCTATCCCTTTGGCCTCTTACCCATATTTTACTTCATTATCATCAAATAGCTTTCAGAAGCACCTCTTGAATATCTCACACTGTACCAAGTTCCTGCTTTTCACTTGTTTTTGTCAATGTTACTAGTATCTCTGCAATTACTCTTACTCATTGACCAGGATCCTTGTCTTACAGCAATTCTGCCTCCTGTCTGTATCTGCACTATCCCTATTACTTTAATATTGTTGAGGTTTGTTTTTTCCTGACCATCTCTGTTGCTGAAACATAAGTTCATATTTCAGGCTGATTGCTCTGGCATTTCTACTTGGACTTCTGCCACCCACACTTCTTTTTTTCCGTCCAGTGTTTCGAAAGAAGCTCCAGAGACTGTTCTCTTCAGTTATATCAGCATAACTATCTAACCAAATAATTTCTCTCCTATCTCATGAAAGTGAGGCAATACTGTTTACAAAGCTCAGATCTCTCTTCTGACTTTGATCTGTTTTCAGTCCATTCCTCTTGTTGCAGTCATCCCAGCAGCTCTGGTTTCCCGAGTTGTCTCTTTCACTTTCTCTGCTATCTTTTATATCATAGGTCCTATAGTAAGAATTATTTCTTCTTTTTGTTCACCTTTTCCTTTCCTTTTTTACAAAGTGTTTTGTATAAACCCACTCCTTTCTGGTTTCATCACTAAAGAAGCCTCTTCTGTTTCTGAGTGACTGTCCTGCACTGTCTGACCATCATGCCTAATAGAGAAACAAGTGTTTCTGACTCAAACCAATGTTCCATCCAGCTCACTATGCCACTTCACAATACACACTATGAGATAATTCAGGAAAAATTAAAAAAAAGCTAGATAAAAGCTATCATTAGTACATCCTCTCAACTTCCTAAACACAGAGTGAAGGGGGACAATGAGAGATACTATCTTTGTGTTTAAAAAGTTTGTCGTTTTCCATTATTATTTTCCATTATTTTTTAATTAATGTATATTTCTATTATGCACAGGCTTCTGTGGGACTGATTTAACTTTATTTTGTAATGTGTGGAAAAGTTCCTCCTTTTGTTAGCTTTAAATCAATATACATGTTTTATTTCCATCTAGTTTTTTTATTACATTAGAAAATGAATATTCTATTCTGTAATCACTTTCTCTGTGCCATTCAGAATTTTACAGCTATGAGTCATATCAGCTCTATTCTCTGTCTTGGCTGAAATATTCCCAACCAACTGAAGTCCTCCCTCAGATATCCTAAAATTGTGACCAAACCTGTGAAAGTCCCAGGTGCATTTTCCCCCATGCACCTTCTGGGTGTTTGGCTGGGCACAAGGCCATCTTAGAAACAGTATAGATGGTGACATTTAAAAAAAGGCTGGCAGCAGAGTCAGAAATAGCCATCCCTTCTTCCCATGGGAGCTGCTTGTAAAGAGAGGCTTTTGCCCTTGGCCTATGCTGCAGTTGTGACAGCCACACACTTAGACCCTGGTCATGACCTAGGGAGTGATTTCCTGGCTTGATATCAGACCTGCCTCCTCACTTGGTACTAAGCAGAGATCCTTGGGCCATGTCTGGCCTTTGTTACCATTTCTGAACTCCATTCTGACTCAGCCTCCTGAGTCACTCTCATCCGTACATACTTGTTTGGTAATGTAGACTTTTGGCTGACCACGGCAGTCCTCTCTGGGCCAGCCCTGCCTGGGCAGAGCAGGAGTGAGCCTTGCATGGTTATGCCCCTACATCCATGGTGTCTGTTACAGGAGTAGTTCCTGATTCCTTGTACCTTTCTCCTTCCTGGCAATACCAAGCCTTGCCTCCTTCTCTGTTACCTGTGCTAGTTCTGCTATTGTCTATTTGAGATTGACCAAAACATGACATAAAAATCACAGACCTTACAGAGTCACAATGCTTATTTCTCTTTTTCTTTCATCATCATGCCTACACTGTGTTTGCTTCTTTGTCTACTGATATTTTAAGAGAACGCAAATATTTTAAGAGAACTGTTTAGAGGACACCAAGATCTCTTTCCTGAAAAGCAGACAACCAACATCGACTATTATTTATACAAAATGCCTCCCATTTGCACTGCCACTGGTCTCCATCTCCCCTGTCATCTTGTACTATGAGTTTTTGGTATATCTGAAGAGATTATCATCATAAGCAAACTTCATTTACTCAAAAGCTCAATTGCAACACTTAGTTCCTGATTATGCCAAATTATCCAAGTCCCAGTGAAGACTGAAATAAAACCCAACTGGCAATCTCCCTCCTGTGTGAAACTAAGTTTATTCCTACCTTGCTTCCAAACTTTTAGCAGGGTGACTTCCCAGAGATGAAAGTCCTACAAGAGATGCACCTTGCAGCTACTTTACAAACTACAGAAGAATAAGCAACCACAAATCTGTGCTTACATTAGATATCGTTTCTCATTTCAAATACTCATCTGAAAACAGTTCTAGAATAAAACTAATCTTAATTTTATAGTTTTCCCTGTAATTCCTCCTTTGTTTCACAACTCTTTAATTATGATTATAGCCTTACAATTCCCACCTATAAATGATAAATGATGTTTTATTAACATCCACTGAACAGTTTGAATCCTCATAAAATTAATATGAATATTAATATTTACTATGAGATGGATTTAATTACATTATTCAAGATTAGGCATTACTGCTTTTCACACAGCATCTTAGATCCTTGTTATGTTATTTTTTGTGGCTGAAAATAATGGAAATTATCTCTCAGAACTTCTTGAATACATGCAAAAATCATACCTTTCTAATAAAATAACTTACCCTCTTTTACTGATTCCTCCTTTGATTGGCTTAATGTTAGCAATCTGTTACATTTTTCCAGCTGATGAATCAGTAGGTTATTTGCATCATTTATTTCTGATATTTTCTAGAAAATTGGAGAAGGACTAACATTATATTAACATGCTTAAAGTTTTGAGTTTTAAGTGAATTAAAAAATTTAACAATTCAACAATACTGCAGTCCAAGCCTGTAATATTTTCCCATTCAGTATATTCCTTTATAGTGAAGAATGATAACAAGACTGGAGATCCTTTGCTGTTCCAAGTTTACCCTGCAAAACTAAGAATGCTAACTTAATCATGAGTTATAAACCATTTTCCTCCAGTCTTGTAGCCCAGAGTCTGGATCAATCCTCTGCAAGGTTCTTTCTACTGCTTTGCATAAAAGGCTGTCAACACTTTTGCAGAGCAACAATTTGAACAGTATGTGGGAATAGGAACTGGCATAATAAGTTTATTCCAAGAGAAATGCTAAATTTATTTCAGGTGCTCCTTTTATACTACCTCTAGTATGGATTTGCTGACCAGGAAATCAGCAGAAAGCTGATCAACATCAGTCTAAAAAGATTTTCCTCAGAGGGTCAATTTTTTAAGAAATTACATACACATAAGATAAAGGAAGCTCAGTGCATATGAAATGTAGGAATTTGTGCTCCTGATAAGGCAATGACATTTTTGTAGAACAAGGAACAACTTCTGAAAGACCACCTGGTCTAGTGAGAGGTGTCCCTTCCTACAGCGGGGCAGGGGGTTGGCACTAGGTGGTCCATAAGGATTCTGTGATTCTGTGAAAGCAGTGTAATGCAGTTTATCTTCAACACCATCTTCCACAGTCCTCCTGAGAAAGCCAATTTGGCCTCTGGATGACTAAAATTGTAGCACAGAAACAAAGGCTTCTCAGATTTCCTGTGTCTCCAGGATACAGTCAATACAAACACCTTTCCAAATGAAGTTGGTGTTACAAGGCATAACAGTAAGCTGATATAATTTAAGGAGCTGATACAGCTTAAAATTCTCAAAAAGATTTTGAAAATGTCAGACAACAATTATAGATGGCAGTCTCAACATTTTTTAGGTTCTTCACTTACCTTTTCTATCTCTGAGAAGTCATATAAAAGCTTATCAAGGTTCACTACACTGGTTTTCTTCATAGTTTCTTCATCACTATCATTCATTTATTTCTGAACCGTATAATCAAATGATCACTAGATATATGTAAAAATAGATCTATAAATTAATATATTCATTATTCACACCACATAAATTCTTAGGCAAAAATGTAAGAAGAAGAAGACTCTTTTTTAAAATTAAAACTATTTTTGCATTGAAGCTAAACTTCAGCCTATTTAAGATCTTGCATTTCTTGGAAATACAATGAATGTCAGAAAGCCCAAACAATACCTGCCAAACTGATATATTGTGGTTAAATTTGGAAAGTTTGCTGCAATTAAAAAGTTAACGTGGATCCACTCCCATAGACAGAATAATGCACCAGGCATATATTAATTTAGCATCTTTTACCTCTGTAGATGCTCTAATACTTGGCTACACAGGTTTAAAGGTACTTACATATTTTCTTATAAAAAACAAGTGTTAAATCAGTGCAACACATAAACCTTGCTGCAGAATAAAAGGCAGTATTTTTGAAAGGCACCCATATAGTTTCAGATTTTTAGCATAACCCCTATTTTTATAAATTCTACTTACACAGCATCTTTTACCTCTGTAGATGATCTAATATTTGGCTACACATATTTTCTTATAAAAAAGAAGTGTTAAATCAGTGCAACACATAAACCTTGCTGCAGAATAAAAGGTAGTATTTTTGAAAGGCACCCATATAGTTTCAGATTTTTAGCATAACCCCTATTTTTATAAATTCTACTTACAAAATTTTCAACATATATTTGCAAGATGGATCTGAAATACACAACATGAATGCTTCTAAAAATATTCAAACTATTTCTCAACATCAGGCTCTATGAGACAAAAACTCCAATACCTACTAGTAAACCATGTGGTCCAAAAAAAATATCACAACTTCTACACATGGAAATGTGTAAACAGCCTTTTTACAAATAACAAAAAAAATTGCAATCAGGGAGATGAAGCACAAGTTAAAATATGTTCACTACTCAGAAAATGAATGAGCTTCCAGACAGAAATACTTGCAGTACAGTTAGGCAGAAATAGGTAAAGGCACAACACTAAGCAGAAACCAAAATTACATAACTGTGTGATTTTTCTCAATCATTCAATATTTACAAGCTTTTGTGAACAAAGCAGTAAGATACTGGTTCTATGTGTTTAATATTTTTTCCTTGTGCCCACTCCTTCCTCAGTAAGACTAAAACTAATTCATAAGCCAAAGCTCAGTTTTTTTAAATTAACAGTTCTAAATTAACAGAATATAGTAACCTTTGAAAAAGTAATGCTTCTTACTTAAATTAATGGGGGTTTTGTTTTTTAATTATTTAGTAATCTTAATAACTTGGAACTTACTACCATGCAATGATTTGTCAAATTGGAGTTTTAAATATGTATTCAGGACACTCAATTTTTTAAAACAATTAACCATCTTAATACTCTGTTAGTTGATAATCTAAATGTACACTATGAATGTCGGTCCTTTGACTTTTCCAGTCCTTATTATGGGCAGCATCTTCTATTTGTCAATCATAATTTTTTTCATTATACTTTTAAAACTGTGTTCCACTCTCCACATTTAGACAGAGGATAGAATTCAGGGAGCTGCCGTGTTGAGCTGTTTTGTTTGTGTGTTTCCTTATTCTATGGCATCACTTGTTTTCTCGGAAGACAGGATGTGCTCAGCACTTGGCAACAGCACCACTGGGTACAAAACTCCTGCTGAACTGGAACAGCAAATTAAAAATGATGTTGTATTATTAATGCTGTATTTTTTTTTCCAGCAGGAAAACTCATCACTGTTATTTTTGAGCATATTACTGTTACACATTATGTCTTCAAAAGGCATTTTTTGTTAAACCTCTCACTCCTGTTTTGAACGATATTTATGTCACTGGGGAAAAATTAAACATTTAAATCATGGGTTTGACTGCTGTAAAAGTGACTCCTTCTTTTAATGTCTCTTTGACCCCTTGCCATCCATGCTTTCCCAGTACCACTTTTGAAACTATTGTAGGTGATGGTCCCGTTTTGAAAGTTAAGTTTTCGATTTTTTTTGCTGCATGTGGCAGTGAAACACATTTAGAGAGAGAGCGAGAGAGAGACGGACAGACATTAACCGAATGTAGGGATTATTCAGCAGCAGGCACGCCAGTCCTCCCCCCGCAGCGCCGACCGCCCTCAGGCACCTGAGGGGAGCGCGGGAAGCCCCGCCCCGCCGCCGGAGCGTACCACCGCCGGCCCTGCAGGGGGCGCGCCACACCCCCCCCCCCTCCCGCCGCTGGTGGGCTCGGCCGACGGCTCCCCTCAGGTGCGGTGGAGCTCCCCCTTAAAACTTGAACAGGTGCTAGTTTACTTTGTGGGCCTAGGTTTTCTACAGAAATAGGCCTTGTAATTGTTTCCCTGGAGCCCAAGCTGCATTCTGGTATGTGACATTTCGCCCTTAAGCAGAAGAGAGTAGCCGAGCTTCGTAAATGCTTGTGGTTGAACGGAAGGGCAAAAGTCAGGGGCTGAAGGGATAGGGATAGGGATAGGGATAGGGATAGGGATAGGGATAGGGATAGGGATAGGGATAGGGAGCTTGGGTGGTCTTGTTCTCCCCTATAATCCATGCCCACTTCTTGGCCTCATTCCTGCATTTGTGCTGTGCTGGGCTGTGCTCCAGAAACTGGAACAATGTTTGTCCTGGTAAAGTTCTGCGCTACCTCCACATGGCCCCTTCTCCAGCCACATCTTGTTCTTTCTCACACTGTGTTAGTACTAACAATCCTTAGTGATTACCAACAATTCTTGTCTGTTATTCAGCTGTCCTTTCTTGGCTCCACAGCACTCTAGCTATCCATGTTCAAGATATATACATTGAGACCTACACCCTTATCTTCTGAAATTCTGGAGTATAAATGGACTTCTTGTCCAAAATGCTAAATACTCCATAGCTTTCTCAAATAAACCATTTTTGTCCGTAATAGAGTGGAAAGATGTTACATCTTGAATACTTTTTGGTGCTGTCCGTGTGATCAGAACTGTCTGCTGTGCAAATCAGAAGATGTGCCTGCAAACACCCAGAGAAATAACAACCTACCCGTCACGGTCACACGTGCTGTTTGGCAGGCAGCTGCTTTATCAGAACATCTGTGGGTTGGTTGTGTGCACTGGGACATTGCCTAGGCAAATTGATAAAAATAATTTTCACGGATAGAAGGTCTGCAGCTGAGATATCAGTGAGGAAAGGACACAGTGCCAAGTGTGTCATGGACAGATATTAATACGGAAAGAGGTACCCAGGGAACTCGGTACATGCTGCTCACGTTTTCTAGCTCACTTTCCCTGCTTCAGATACCAATTTTTACAAAACATCTTTTGCAGTTTCACTTGTCCTTCTAGATTGCACAAATTTTTCAAAAGGTTTGGTACTTTCAAAAAATTAGAATAAAAATTTGTAATTAAAGTTAATAAAGTCATTAATCACCACAGTTAATGTTCCTCTTAGACCTATAAAAAAGTCCACTGTTGGTTACTAAAGAGAGAAAACCTGTGACAAGACATTGTTTCATATTGTTTCTCACAAACAGCACAATCTATGTACATTTAAATTCTCATAGTTAGGCATGGGCTTGAGCAGTGTTTTAGTGACCTTCATGTCATTTTGATGGTCTTTAACAGCCTTCTGTACAACCCTGTACAACCCCTTTAACAACTTCTGTACAACAATCTCAAGTGGATGTGTCAGATTCTTTCACAGAGCTAAACTCTGCAAGATTCATGCAGTTCAAAGTTGTTTTGTCTTTTTCTGAAGAACACAGAGAAAGAAGAGCGTAGGTTTTAACCTGCTCTAGACTGCCAGAGCACTCATCCCAGTGTTTAGCAGAGTATCACATTGACTTTAGTGTCAGACTGCAGAGCAGCTTAATAAGATGGTGCAATAAATTGTACTCTCATGTATCTGGGGCATCAATGTATTGTTTGACGTGTTCTGTTCTTTTTGACAAAAGGATTTGTTTTTCTGGTTTAGGAGATGAAAGCTCTCATAAAGGGTATTTGGTGTAGAAGTGCCCATTTCTGTTGCATTCTCCAGAATGTTTAGATTTGTCCAAACAATGAAAGCAGAAATATACATAAAATACATACAAATACATGTTTATTTGTATTGGGTTTGCGTGGCCAAGTTTTGGTAGCAGGGGAAAAGTGGGGAGAGTTACAGGAGTGGCTTCTTTGAGATGCTGCCAGAAGCTTTCCCCATGTCTGGCAGAGCGAGTGCCCACTGATTCCAAGACAGACTCACTGCTGGCCAAGGCCAATCCCATCAGGGATAGTAGAACCACCTCTGTAATAATGTGTTTATAAAGGAAAAAAAGTTACTGTTCAGTTGTAATTGTGCTCAGAGAAGAGAGGAGTGAGAATATGAGAGAGGAGCAGCTCTGCAGAAGCCAAGGTGAGTGCAGCAGTTGGGGCAGGAGGTGCTTCAGATTCCCCGTGCTGACACCCTGGTGAGGCAGCTGTGCCCCTGCAGCCCTTGGGGGTCAGTGCCAGAGCAGGTGGATGCCCAGAGGAAGGCTGTGACCCTGTGGGAAGTCCATGCTGGAGCAGGCTTCCGGCAAGGTGTGACAGGTTTGCTGGTAGGACCAGTGACCCTGTGGGTAGCAAGCTGTTTTTGAAGGACTGACTGCACCCCATGGAAAAGGACCCATGCTGGAGCAGTTCATGAAGGACTGTGGCTTATGGGAAAGACTGACACTGGAGAAGTTGATTGAGAGCTGTCTGCCACGGGAGGGACCCCACACTGAAGCAGGGGAAGGACTCCTCTCTGAGCAGCAGCAGGAACATGTGGTGATGCGACCATAACCCCATTCTTGTGTCCCTGCTGCACTGTTGGGGAGGAAGTAGAGCTGGGAAAGAAAGGAGGTGTGGGTGGAAAGTGTTTTTAAGATTTGTTTTGTTTCTCATTATCCTGCCCTGGTTTTGATCTGTAATAAATTGAATTTGTTTCCCCCAAGTCAAGTCACTTTTGCCTGTGATAATTGATGAGTGA